ATATGCAATTTTCGGTGAGCTGGAACCAATTACCCAAAAACCCATTGAAACAATGGTTTCAGTTAACGAATTTTTCGGTTAATGAGCAACCTTCTGGAACGAATTGTGCTTTTTAACCGAGGGACCACTGTATTTAAATCAGGAGTAATTATTTACAATTGAGGTAATTATCAAATATTACTTTAACTAAATATAACCTAAATTAAATGCAACATATACATAACTCCCTAACTAAATTTCTTTCATTCTGCTCTTCAACATAATAGATTAGCAGTTACGATAGGGATACAGCGTTGCTCATTTATACTTACACTCAGTTTTGTTGGTAGATATCAGCTGTTCTATACCATCTGGCAGTGCTGGAGGCACAGTTTACCAAAGAAACCGATAGACACATTACCTCCTTACCATAATCTCCCTCACCACTACTACTACCACCACCACCACCACCACTATCTCTATTATCACCATCTTAATCATAATTTCAGTGATGCAGAGCTGGATTAGCATCAACCAGAGTACAGCTGTACAATATCCAGCACCTCCCACCTGCTGCCCTCTCTTCCTACCTCCCACTCACTGCCTCCGCCTGCCTCCCTCCCTCCCTCTCAACCACCCACCCATCTACACACTGTGTCTCACACTCGTTCATCAAATGCCTCATTCATGATACAGTAGGCTCTCGCCAACAACGTCTAATAGGTACCTGAAAAACGCCGCTATTAGCGAAAACGTTATTTGTGTGACATTAAAATACATGTAAAAAGGGTTTATTGGTGCCGTCGCCCCAAGAATTTCACCCAATTTTTCCCCTTGAAACCCTCCTAACACTTTTTGTTAGCTTAAATAAAAATAATTGTTATTCAATCATCAAAATAAAGAGTTTGAGTAATATAACACTTAGGATGGGGGAGTTTTTGAGGTGCTTGGTGTGATGATTGTTCCGTATGTGAGGGCCGCTAACACTTGCACTGACTTTTATTCTACAAGCTAACCATTTCACAAGAAAATGCTCTGTTATCACTATCAACCTGTTTCTATCACTTTTATCATTCATAGCTCACCTCGCATTTCCATCACTACCGAAATATTTCTTAGCCAGCGCAATACTCTTCTTGGTCTCTTCTACTTTCCTCTTAATATTTCGCACTGTAGACTCAGGATGGTTCAATTTCCTCACAATATCAATGTTCCGTGCACCACTTTCAATGAGCACAACAATCTGTGCTTTAACCTTGACCGAGTAGGCACACTTCTTGAGGCTTTGTCTCTTAGCTTTGGGGTCTTTTTTCTCATTCACTTTAAAAGTTCCGGGCATTCAGGCGGCAAATCACTCCCTCCACCACCTCCCCTAACCCCTACAGGCAAAAATGCGGAAGCCATTGTTGATCACCGACCCTAGCAACCACTGGTTATAGAGGCGAAAATCTCATACGTGGGAGCAGCGCTGTATTCCACCAAGCGTGTGTAAGAGTGAGGCGGAGCGGACACCTACGTCATCAACATGGCGGCAAACAAACGCTATCATTGATGCGCACGGACGCTTCCCGCGAAATCTCCGTTATTCAAGAGAATCCAGACGTTATTATCGAAAATGGGTATCTATTGTAACTTACCGTCATTGTCGAAAATGTTATTGTGGAAGTCGTTATTGGCGAGAGCCTACTGTACAATATTGTTTATTTATTATTAATTACTTAGTAAATATATGTTACTGTAATATTCTGTGTTTAGTTTACCAATACCTGTACCCTTCACATACAATACCTGTACTGTATATATCTCCTAGGTAAAAAAAAATCATCAGGAATGGATCTCCATTTATGCAATGGTATAATGGTCCCTTAGAACGCTGTTCTGGATAGTGCTCGTTTGTTTCACCTTTTCGAGTATTTTCTCACTTTACAGTATTACCCGCTTTACACGGTTTCACTTTCCGCGATTTCTCATTTACGCGGTACCTTGCCAGAACCAGACTTTCCCTGTCCGCGGTGCATCTACTCATATACGCAGTGAAGTATAATTTTTTTTTTATTTAGCTCATAAAATTCATGCAAATTACCCGGCCAGAATATAATTTACATTGCTGGAATTCTTACAATATGATGATCATTTTGAATATAAACATCATGGATTTTGCATTAGACATACAAATTTTAGATCTAATGTAATAATTTGGTTTACACAAAGCAAATATTTTATCCTTTGTGCAGAATATATGAAGTTTACATTCAAAATATTCCCTGACCTGCAAGGAATCCAGAAATGTCAATTATATTATCCTAACTTTAGTCTGAGTTATTATTTATTACTAAAAATGTAAATATACTATTTTCTCCCAATCGCTTCTCTGGTAGGTAGGTAAGGAGGGAGGGAGGGAGGGACCGACCCAGCTAGGGCGGAGTATTTTGATTGACAGATAGTGTTCTTGAAGAATATTTCTTTGTTTATTTACTGAAGATATATGTTTTAGCTCATAAAATTCATACAAATTACCCGGCCAGAATATAATTTACATTGCTGGAATTCTTACAATATGATGATCATTTTGAATATAAACATCATGGATTTTACATTAGACATACAAATTTTAGATCTAAATTAATTTGGTTTACACAAAGCAAATATTTTATCTTTTGTGCAAAATATATGAAGTTTACATTCAAAATATTCCCTGACCTGCAAGGAATCCAGAAATGTCAATTATATTATCCTAACTTTAGTCTGAGGTATTATTTATTACTAAACGTTAAACTCTAGAGTTTTCACCCAAACATTAATCAGAGAGGTAGGAGCTAGTGAGCTGGGAAGAGGGGATTTGAGTCCATTATTTAAATGGACATTAACCTGGCGACTGTATTTCTCTTAAATATTAATTGTGTGAGCATACCATCATAAAATTTAGATGTTATTTTTACTACAACATAGGTATTGTGTCGGAAAAAGTGGAGTTTGGGGGTCGGGCCAGTCTCTATTGGAATTAATTCCATATGTTCTGTTGTTCACTTTACGTGGTTTTCACTTTTCACGGTACCCTGTGGGTTCAATTGACCGCGTAAATTGGGGTACTACTGTATTGAAAAATAGCATGAATTAAGTGTACACACACCCACACACTTAACTTTATCTTCTTCACCATTAATTGGCCTGCTAGCTGCTTGGACAGTTGGCCACATCACTGTTATGCACTGTTGGCAAGTACAGGTTATGCACAGGCTTCAGAATGTATCTGTACCTGCTCCAGTGTTGGTCAAGTCTGGTCTTGAAGGAGTTCACACTTGGGGCCATCACAACAATCTCTGGCAGATTGTCCCAAGAGTTCACAACTCTCACTTCAAAAAAGTTTGCCCTGACATCTTTCTTTTATCTGAGGCTGTGACCTCTAGTGAGGTGTGCATCTGTTAGCCACACACATAGAGACTGTCTTCATCTCCTGTCATTCATTCATCTTATTGCTGTAGCGCTGTGTTCCACTATAGTGCACTACTCCCCTTACACAATACTGTAATACCCTGAACATCAAGCCAATTTTCACACCTCAATAGCAGCCATTAACAGCGCATCCATTTTGTTTGGCAACTTTTTTATACACACGTTGGTTCTTGTTGATGGAAGTGTGATTGGGATGGTTGTGTAAACAGCTCTGCCGGTCCCATAAACCGCAGGCCTATGTCTATGCTGAAGGCGCGGAAAACAATCACTGTTCGACACGTGTCCCTTAACTAATTTATAAGTTGAAGGTATACTTGGAAAACTCCGTGTTACTTCTTATAGTTAATAGTAAAAACACAATGGCAATCTATTATTAGCTTATTTATATAGAATAATTTAACAGAATTAAAGTAATTGATGATAAAAACAGGCATCCCTGGGTTACGGAGGGTTCCATTCCTGAAAATCTTTCCATAACGCAAAACAATTTTTCCTATATATTTCCATTATAAAAGTTGAGAAGAGTTACTAAGAAAATTTTTTGAGGCCCCAAAACATGCCAAAGCAAATATTTGTATGAAATTAGACAGTTTTAAACACATAAAATGAGTCATTCATGATGTAACATGATAATAAATGAACAAAACACTTAAATTTTACCTACCAGAAACAATGTTGAGTGCTGCAGGAAGTGGTGAGGAGAGGTTGTGGGATCAGAGTTACTTGGGAGTTATCTCCCTTAAAACATCAAGTTTAATGTCCAATGCAATTCCTTTATGGAATCTTTTATCAATGCTGCTAGCTGTCACTTGAATTTGATTATCTTTTTCCACTCATCTTGAGTAAGTGTACACAGTAACACAGACGAATAACTGAACACAAACTGGGGAAAGAATTCAAACTGGGCAGTGCCCAGAATCCACACAAAATAAATGTTGTGATTTGAGTGAATTTTTTTTCTAAATACTGTAGTGATTTTTTCTTTTTGAAAAGTTAATAAATTAACCAAAATTCCATAAGGGCAAATACAGTCCTGAACACAGACGCTGGGGAAAGAATTTTAACTGAGCAGCGCCATTGTTGTGGTGGTTGCTGGCATCTAGGGAGGTGAGCGGCCTTCCAACCACCTTGTGACCACCACAGAGAATCCACATTAAATTGTTTTTAAAATTTTGGCAAAAATTTACCCAAATTCCATAAGGGCGAGTTGTTTTCCGTAACCTAAAATAAAACAACAAAATATTGTTTTTTACACATAAATCATAGATAATATTAATTATTGTGAGAAATCCATGATCTAACCCTGACAAGAAGCCTATTACACTTTAAATTCAAACAGAAACCCACCATCCGAATCTTCATGGGACAAGTCACTACGAGGTTTTATTTACACTTTAATATATTAAGTGGAATTGTACTAAATGGTTTCCACATTGTGTTTTTACTGAAGAAATTGATTTAGAACAATTATTTTTACAATGTAATGTTTGTGACAATTATCAAATACATCACCATTAATTTGATATAATCACATATTTCTGGAACAAATTTCCTCAAAGCTTACATACCTCTGAGCAGGAATAATCTTAATTTCAACTGCTGTTAAGAATCCAAGGGTACCATATGACCATGGAACCGAGTAGAACAGATCAACATTTTCAGTCTGAAAAATATTTAAATTAATTTAGTATATATTCTCAATTTATTCTGTTTAGCAAATACTGTACAGGATGCCCTCATTTATGATGGTTTTGCAAGAACCGGGTTGACATTTACATGGTTTAGTCTAATGCTTATCATCATTATTCCCACAGGAGACAATGGCTAACAATAACATGCCAGTACATATGAGAATGTACACCTCAAGTGTGTAAAATGAATTAAGAGAGGTAGCAATTACAGACGATATCATCAAAAGAAAAGTAGCCAGCTTCAATGAAGTCAAAGCCCCTGGAGTGGATGCAGCACTTATCAAGGTGATAAAGGTGGCAAATGAGATTTTCACCCCACTAAGACTCTTTCTCAGGAAATCCTTGGATCCAAGTAAAGTGCTGAGGAACTGGAAATTAGCCAATGTCACCCCAATATGCAAGAAGAGTTGAAAAGGTGCAGCAGAAAACTACAGGCTGTTCTGCTTAATATTACATCCAGTACATGTAAACCTAAGCGATATCACAGTCTTATCAATGCATCACAACATGGTTTCATGGAAAGAAAATCCTGTCTAACAAACTTACTCACATTCCTTGAAACCGTAACAGATAACTACATTGTACTGTACATGGAATTCTCCAAGGCATTTGGCATCACAGCCAAGATTTTGACAAAATTATTAAAAACAATGGTGGGATCCTACACAGGCCACCTCTAGTGGGTAGTCATTAGGTAAATAAGGTATGTAAACAAGAGGATTATGATGTGGTGCAGTTTGTATAAAGCTGTAACAATCAACACCATGACAGTCTACACATTCTTCATCATCATACATCATTATCCTTTGCCAACATTCACCAGTATTGTCTTTAGTGAATAAGAAACACTCACAGATCAACCAAAGTAACAACAGCCCAGTCCTACTTATTAAATAATGTAAATCAAATTTGGTGTAGAAGATGAAAAACAGGGACAGATGTTGGTGGGTTATATACAAGGGGAAAGTACTGGAAGTAACTGCAACAGTGCAGAACAAGGGGGAACAGCGAGTCATCCGAGCCCTACAACCTCCCACCCAAATAATTATAAACTTGACCACACCCCCACACAATGCAATGAATATTGTGAACAAGGCAGCTGCTGAGAATGAAGGCAGGCCAAATCCACTACCAAATTTGGAGCCACTACCTAGGAATGTTTCCAGCTAAATAGTCATATACTCATACAGTATACAAACACTGATACTTTACTTGACAAGAGAGTAGAGTTTGAAACTACACAAGATCCATCAACCTGATATAGTAGGTGCTTTGTAATTGTTGTACAGTAAGGTCTTGTATTTCGTGAGTAATATAGACTGGAAAATTTGTGCCAAATGCAAATACATAAACTAATGAGGAAAATATCAATATAGACTGGCCACTCTACATCAACCTCTAATTTTTCCCATTTATAACTTCCAAATGACAAATTCTGCCTTTATTGACCTGATTGTGCCTTCTGGAAAACCAGTAATCTTTCTAATCTCACTAGTTTTTAGGCCTTCCTCAAGTAAGTTAATCATATGCTGCTTATCCTGCATCGAGTACTTGGCAAACTTAACTCCCTTATGATAGTCCCGCTTCTTTTCCTTATTTGGCTGCTTAGGTGGGTCTGTCCCACCCCCACCAGTAAGACCCCCAGTAGAGGTAGAGGCTATTTATCTTGACTCGACAGATGGTAGCACCACCCTAAAAAGCACACAATAGCAGCCTGGGCGGTCGCTAGGATGACGAGGGAGTAACTGGTATGAGGGCTGTGACGTCATACAAGACGGTGGCCAGCTGTTCTGTCTTGCGTCCAGTGAAATGATTGCCAAATGGCAACCCAGTATTTATTTATTTTACTTATTATAATTACCGGTATATTTATTTACTGTATTCTTCACATATACTGGTACAGTATAAATGCAACACAGTTCATCCGGCAGTCATGAAAGTGACTCGAGAAGTGTGTGGCTGCTGCCTGTATGCCCTGACGTCACACGGGGGGAGGGAGAGTGCGGCTGGCCACTTAGCATAAAACATACTTATGCTGCAACATAAAATATTACAGCATTCAGCTGGCTGGAACTCGCGAAACTCATGATATTTTACGCCAAATATAAGACTTGGTTACATTAGGTAGTGCTTGCGAAATTAAAAAAAGCGAAATGAAATCGCGCGAAATATGAGATCTTACTGTATAAAAAATGGGGGATCAACCCGGATGATTGTGAGTTTAATATACAGTGATCCTTCGGTTAACGAACTACCTTCCATAAGAATCTTCAATTCGGTTAACGAAATTCTTACGAAATCATGTCAACATGTTTTCGCTTGCTCACTGGCTGGAATATTAGTCCGTCAATACTGTAATCGGTTCTAGGGCTTAAATTCGTTCCGATTTGAGTAAATATCAAGAAGGTTGTACTATTCAATAATTTTACAAGTTTTATATTAAATTTTTTAGTCATTTTCACACTTATTTAACATAATTGCAGTACAGGAAACTAGTTTTTGGTGCACCAGTCAGCCACTTGACTCACCCACCAAGGCGTCAGTTTGTGTCACTGCTCAGTGGAGGAAGCATCTTGCTTGAGACTCTTGAATATAAACTATTTTTACATTTTTACAGTTCAATTATTGGTCATTCTGAAATTTATTTTACATATTGACAATATATAATGCAGTGCAGTGTTGATTTAAAGAAAATAATCTTGAATTACACCTAGTGAACTTAAAATTTTATGGGTGAAATGACGGCATCAAGCATGGGATGATTTCTCCTCCATCCCCACTTCCTTCTCTTCTCCCTTCTCCTCCACCCCCACTTCTAATTCCCATCATCATCATCAACCAGGAGCCTTTTTCATACACACCTCAAAGTAAGTGTACTTTACTGCATTTATTTTTACTTTGTATGTAATTTTCGGTGAGCTGGAACCAATTATCCAAAATCCCATTGAAACAATGGTTTCGGTTAACGAAATTTTTGGTTAACGAATGACCTCCTGGAACGAATTGTGTTCGTTAACCGAGGGACCACTGTAATTGGCTATGACTCATTTACGAACCTATGTCTGGCAACCTGTAAGAGGGGTGTGGTTATTTATACGAGACAACCTCAGAGCCAGTCAGGTAAGGGTGCAAAGGGAGGATGGTTTTCAAGAGTTGGTATGGTATATAATTAAATTAAGGGAACACACTCATTGTTGGATGTATTTAACCAAAAGAATTTAAGACAATGCAACAGTACTTGACTCTACCCACCTTCTTGTCAATGGGCACTACAATTATGGTGATATTGGACGAACGAAATTACACCAATTCTTTTTGTTAAAAGTCCGAGAGACAACTTCTTATTCCAACATGCTTAAAACCTAGCTCATTATAAACTCTATAATGAGGAAAGATATTGTCCAGGTTTTATATACAGTGGTCCCTCGGTTAACGAGCACAATTCGTTCTAGAAGGTTGCTCGTTAACCGAAACCATTGTTTCAATGGGTTTTTGGGTAATTGGTTCCAGCTCACCGAAAATTGCCTAAAGTCAACAAAAAAGGTAGTAAAGTACACTAACTTTGGGGTGTGTATGTAGAAGGCTCCTGGATGATGATGATGATGATGGGAATTAGAATGGGGGTGGAGGAGAAGGGAGAAGAGAAGGCATTGGGGAGGAAGAGAAGTCACCCCATGGTGCAATTTCACCCATAAAATTTTAGTTCACTTGGTGTAATTCAAGATTATTTTCTTTAAATCAACACTGCACTGCATTATATATTGTCAATGTGTAAAATAAATTTCAAAATGACCAATAATTTGACTGGAAACACAGAACAAAAGCGTTTATGTTGGAGAGTCTGAAGCAAGATGCTACCGCCACTGAAAAGACACAGAGACTGAAGCCTGTATGGTGTGTTGACAGGCTGTTTGGCGCGCTAAAAACTAGTTTCCCTGTACTTAAATTATATTAAATAATAGTTAAAATTACTAAAAAATTTAATATAAGACTTTTAAAATTATTGAATAGTACAAACGTCTTGATATTTACTAAAATAGTAAGGAATTTAAGCCCTAGAACTGATTACTGTATTGGCGGACTCATATGACAGCTAGTAAGCAAGCGAAAACATGTTGAGGGGCGCTCATAAGGAATTCGTTAATCGGGGGAATGCTTGTTAACCGAAGTTAAGAATCTTATGGAAGGTAATTCGTTAACCGAAATTTCGTTAACCAAGGCGCTCGTTAACCGAGGGATCACTGTATACAAAAGTGATATCCCTGTAGCCAGAACAATTGGTGCAGAGCACTTCCGGGAATGAGAGATTTCCGGGTAACAAGATGACTCTCTCAAAGCCGGAAAAAATCCCTCCTCCCCAGAATTTTCAGGGTAACGGAAAAATGTTCTTGGAAATTCCAAACTGAAACATGCAGCTCTCCATACTGTTGCCAAGGGATAACAGGATCACGGGGCTCATCGTGAGAGAGGTACACTCGACTAGAGCTGGACACTCAGGACGAGAACACATTCTTGCCATAATACGTGGGACATACTGGATACCTAGGTGCCGCAAATTACTCGACCGCACAATGCGGACGTGTGTGACTTGTCGGAGAAGCAACTGGAGGCCTACCCACCAACGCCAAGTCGACCTGCCAGAAGATGGAAGCATGCCCGATTCATCGCAGACCAATTTTGGAAGAGGTGGGTAAAGGAATATCTCCTGACACTACGTCAATGACAAAGATTCTTCAAAACTCCCCATAATCTCCACGCTGGGGATATTGTTATCGCCACGCATAATTGTGTGCACCGGCCACATGTTAAGTGAAGAGACTGTTTATGCCTCAGAATAGCTTATTAAGAGAGATGGAGCTGGTAGCAGCTGTGTGACCGCCTGAGGGGAGACTATCGCCTTCTACTGTAGAGGCAACATCTTGATTCTCGTCAGCCAACACCTTCCTGCAGGACATTATATATGTTCTCATTGGTCTAACCCAGACCCAAAAACGTTTTGACTGTAATCCTCGATGCAAATTATATATATAT